TGTCCCTGCGCGGGCAGCGCCGCTCCCCGCCCGGCCCGGCCCCGGGCTGCGGCTCCCCGCGACCCCCCGGCGCCTCCCCTCCCATTGCTCGCAGCCCCCCCTCCCATTTTGAGTTATTTTAAATTAATTTGTTTTGTTTTCGTCTTCCGCTMGCTTTTCTCCTCCCTGTGGCAGCGGCGGGGCAGCAGCCTGGCGGCGGGGCAAGCACGCGGGCCCCCAAGGAAGTCTAAAGCGGTTGAAATTTAAAGAGGGTTTAAAACATTTGGGATTGGCCTGGGGTTTGAGCAAGCCTTTAAAAGCGCCTTGCCTTTGAGCAAGCAGCTTAATGTATGGAAAAGCAGCGCCAGGGTAGCAGGAAGCGTGGTGCTCACCAGTCGGGCTCTAATTTTTTTGATAATGCATTTTAACATAAATTTTTGATAAAGTTTTTTGAGTTTTAACGGCCCTGAATCTGGCCGACTAAATACCTTACGCGCAAGAAATAGGAAGCCCCGCGGTGTAAATGTGCTGCTCTCACTGGGAATCTTCCCCCTTTCTCCCTTTCAGCGAGCCCCACCTGTGCTGCCGGACACGCCGTGTGCCACGAAGAACCGCTGGGAAAGGCAATTCCCGCCCAGGTAGCCGCTTCGGAGCGGCGCGGCTGGCCGTGTCCTTTGCACGGGCGCGTTCCCGTCGCCTCTAGGTGAGGTTTGTGCCCTCAGGAAGGCGGCTTCAGGTCAGTTGTCTGCCTTGGTTTYGCAGGTGCGCCGGGAGCATGGCGGTCAGATGGACGGACGGACACTCCTCCTCTGTGCTGTGCCTGAGCGTGAGCTCGGAAGGGCTGGTGGCCTCCGGCGCAGAAGGAGGCGAGCTGGCCGTGTGGGATGGAAGAGGAGTCCTGGCGGGACGGCTCCGGCTCCCCAAGGCAGAGGACGTTGCCTCTGTTGCGTTCTCCGCAGCCTGCCCCGCCAGGCTCTACGCCTCCCACGGGGAGAGCATCGCCTTGCTGGATGTCCGGGCTCTTAAGGAGCCTGCCGACAGCTTCCAGGTGAACGAGGAGGAAATCAACTGCCTTGCAGTGAATGAGACCGAGAGCGCCCTGGCYGCCGCAGACGATGCGGGAATGATAAAGGTTATAGACTTGGGAAGCAAGAAGGTCAGCCGGAGCTTGAGGCACTCCAACATCTGCTCCTCTGTTGCCTTCCGACCTCAGAGGCCGCAGAGCCTCCTTTCCTGCGGGCTGGACATGCAGGTGATTTGCTGGGAAGCTCTTTACCTTTCCTAAAGCAGTTTTGGCAGAGAAGCTAGCACAGAATTAAGCCTGTTAATGCTGTTTTTTGCTCAGCRGTTATCCTGGCTGGTTTTGTCTTTGTTCATAGTTCTAGACGTGAGGAGGAGCAGCAGAGCACGCTGTGGCTGCGCCAGCTCTGTTCTCAACCTTTCCTCACAGGACAGATGTTCCAGGCCCCWGATCATCCTGGTAGCCCTGCGCTGGACTCTCTCCAGTAGCTCCACATCCCTCTTGTACTGGGGAGCCCAGACCTGGACACAGTCTCCAGATGTGGCCTCACCAGGGCTGTGTAGAGGGGGACAGTCACCTCCCTCGACCTGCTGGCGACGCTCCTCTTAACAAACCCCAGGATCCCGTTGGCCTTCTTGACCACCAGGGCACACTGCTGCCTCATGGTCATCTTGTCATCCACCGTGATGCCCAGGTCCCTCTCTGCGGGGCTGCTTTCCAGCAGGTCCACCCCTAATCTGTACTGGTGTCCGGGGTTATTCCTCCCCACGTGCAGGACCCTGCACTCRTCCTTGTTGAACTTCATGAGGTTTMTCACTGCCCAGTCCTCCAGTCTGTCCAGGTCCCTCTGGATGGCAGTGCAGCCCTCTGGGGTATCAGCTACTCCTCCCAGTTTGGTATCACAGCAAAAAATTCAGTAAATAGATGAGAGCTGAATAGAGGCTGATTAATACAGGTCTTTCCAGTTTTGACTTGGACAGATCTCCAGCACAGCTGGCAAAAAGATCAATGAAGAATCGTAAAGGAAATATTTGTGAAACTTCTCTTTAGAGACACCAAAGTACCAATCTGAGAATCATAAATGCTTGTATTTTTAGGTATCTGAGTGTAAGTTTGCAAGACTGTGTCAATAGACATTTCTGGGCTTGCACATCAAACTCTTGATGAAGCAGCTAGTTCAGGAGGATAGAAAAATTGGTCACTGGCCGTTTTTGTTCAGAAAAGGGGCTGTGGAAGCAGAAAAAGTGCCATGAAAACAGAAGATGCCTGATTTTCAGAAATCTTGTTACCAGTTAGGTGCTTTATCACCTAATTCAGACGAATTCACTCAAGCTGTTGCAGTACCATCAAAGAGGAGTACTGGACCATTTGCTTTAAGCATTTGACCCAGCTTCTCCRATTCACTCCATTCTGCTCGGTCATAGTGGAAGGTTTTCAGAGCAGTTTTAATGGAGCTGCAACAGCRAGTGCTCAAATAGAAAAGTACAAACAAATAATTGATATATTTTGGATGTTTCTAAGGAATCTGGCTGCTGTAAATTCAGAGCCAGGATGACTCTTTCTGTGGCACCAATTTAAAGACTTTGGTACTGAAGTTCTAATGCGGATGTTGAGCAGTAGAATGTTTGAWAAAAACCAATCAGAACCCTCATGAAAAAAGCAAAGAGCACATCAATAGTGCATTAAAGACTGACTTATTCTCTATCTATTGGTTCTAAAAATACTGTTTGGTTCTAAATTGGTTCTAAAAATAATAAATCATATTGTAAATAACATTTTTTCTTTGGCAAAGAATTGCAGGTTTTTTAACTGGTGCAGTTTCTACTGTTGAGATGCACTCAACGTCTTTCAACATCAGGGAAAGGATCTGATTTTCCTAAAGCTCAGTGGCTGAAGCTGGTTCCCCCTGAAATAAAACTATTTATTTTTTTTTAAAGGTTATTCTGTGGAACCTGCAGAAAGCTCGCCCGCTATGGACCATCAACCTGCAGGACAGTGAAACGGAGGAAGCTGGTGCACAGGCAGCCGGCCAGTTCTTCAACCCTCCGCTCGCACATTCCCTGTCCGTTGCACCGTGTGGCAATGTTTTTGGTTGTGGAGCTCAAGACGGTAACGTCAGGATCTTCCGGGTCACCGGTGTGAAGTTTGAGCAGGAGTTGGTGTTTAAGGGCCACAGCTTGGGAGTGTCACAGGTCCTTTTTTTGCCAGAAGCATATTGGCTGCTGACTGGGGGAAATGATGGCAAAGTCTTGCTCTGGGATGTCAGCAGCGGTGTTGGGAAGCAACAGAAGAGCCCAGCTCGATCTCTCCAGAGAAGAAAGGCCCAGGCATCCACCAAAAAAGAGGGGAAGCTGAACAAAACAGCTGTGAACGAAGATGCTGAGATTTTACCAAAGCTAACCATTGAACATGGAGAGAAGGTGAACTGGCTCTCGTATGCAGAGTTCAAAGGCTCTAAGAGAATATTAGTTGCTGATCAGAGCAGTTCTATATCTGTATATCCATTACCAGATGTTTAATTTAGAGAAATTTGTGGTAAGGAATCGTTTCTCAGGGTGTTTGAAATAAGCCCAGTTAAATCTGCTGATGGGGAACTGACCCTCCTGCAACCTCAGGAACAGCAAGGGATTTGCTGTGAAGTTTCATGCAAATACTCATGATGCAACTGACCTCGCACTTTTTTTTTTTTTTTTCACTGACTGTTAATGTTGATTGCTACTGTTTTCTGTAGGATTGGCAATTGACTGCTTAAATTTAAGTGAAACTGGTTTCAAGAGATTTGGGGCAAGATTATTTCAAAGCTGACCTGGTGTAATTAAGGTTGGAGGGAAGACATTCACGCTAACAGAGCTCACAGTGCTCATTTTGGATGCTGAGCAGTAATAAAGAGGCAACTGACTGAGCTCCTGGTGCTTTTACAAGGAGTCTGAATTATTTCAGTGCTTTACCTTCCCTGCTGAACCATGTCAGTTAGCTTAAATTGAACACCATATATTTTTCATTAATTAGTCAGTGGCTGCACTGAAGACTAAAAAAGCATTGTCAGCTACTCTAACGAGCAATCACATTCCCAAGCAGTCCCTGTTAACTGTATTTTTTTCACACTGTAAGCAAAGGAACCAGAGAAAACGTTAACAACTGCTTGCTTGCTCAGGCATCCTGTAGGTTTAGTTTGCTTTTGAAAGTGCTATTTCCTCCAGGAGAGGAAAAACAACTATTGCATTGGTCTCAATAAATGCTTTATCTCTCACTGCACCCTTGTGTTCACACTCTAGTATTATCAGCCTTATGTGTTAAACAAAAATGTTTCACAAAGTGTATTTTAGGAGAGTAAATGGAAGGGCCAAATGCTTTTCTTACCACAATACTTGCATAGTTTCACAAAGCTGTTCTAAACAGAACAAGCAGAATTTGGCCCGTGGGGCTTGCTAGAAATGTTTTTCCATTTGTATGTGAAAGGTTGGGAGATTGTAACTAAATGGGAATGCCTAGGATCCTGCTGTGCTGAGTGCATGCTAAATTTCCCATGCAATGGGCAGATAATTAAAAGAACAGAAGTTTATTTTGTCAGGCTTTCCTGTGCATTGTACTGGCTAAAGACCTGTTTAGGGTGCTACCAGTCACATGTTATCTGCCTTTTTTTTTTTTTTTCTTTTGATGGAAAAAAGAAATCACAGATCTTTGTGCACCAGCACCAAAGAATTAACCAGGAGCACTGGAAGCTCTGGCCCAAGATGAGAGCTGATAGRCACTATGGTAAAATAAAGTCTAAATACAGACAAAAAAAAAAAAAAAAGAATGTAGATAACCCTTTTCCTATCAGCTTAAAATTCATATGTAAAGGCAGATGGGATTACTTGGTCAGAGGAAGTGATCCAAACCATAATTCACTATGTAACATGTCCATGAACATGACTCCGTGCATCTATGAACTATATTTGGATCCATGGGCTATAAAAAGCCTTGGTACAAAACAACTGTCCGCAGGAGTCGGACCCCCTGCCTGCTGCTGCTTCGGAGAGCGCAGGACTGTTCCAGCTTTGCTTCTGCTCCATGAAGATGACTAAAGACGGTGTCTCYCTGCGCTCCCTGAACAAGACATTAAACAGGTCGTTAAAAAGGTTGTGTTAATGAGACATTAAGGGGCAAGAAAGGGCAATTCTTTGCAGAAAAAAAAATGTATTGCATGGGGCTGGAGCAAGTTGAACTTTTTCCCCTGGACATTTTCAAGGGAAAGAGAGTGTAATTATATATTGTACTACAGGTGTAGTTATATATGGGAAAAGGAACAGTTCATGGATGATCTTCTCTTTCTCATTAATTTATTTAAAGGGGAGGGGGACAAAACAACACATGAATGCCATCCTGGCCAGCCTGTGAGTTCTGTGTGTTTCGTTACAAGGTCCTGTGCAATTGTTTGAGRAGCAAAGGCCGGCGGCTTCCTTAAGCGCTGCTGTGCACCTGCGGGGACCGGGAATGATAGTTCACACTCTGCTATGACCACTTCCAAAGGGGAAAAATGTGAATTTCTGCATTTGGATAAGCAGCTCAAAAGCTGGACAGTTCAAGAATAGAAAACAGGCAACTATAGATAAGAAAATGGTCTATTTATTTGTTTGTTTTAAATATGTTACATGAAAAAAAATTGMTGTCACAGAGAAACTGGGACAGGGCACACTGACTCAGTTTCCATTTTCAAATTCTGTCCTCAGAAGAGGCTTACAAAAATACTTGACCAACAGGTTCATTGGCTTCATGTCAAGATAACATGGCACACACTACCCTCCTGGTACGGGTGCCCAAGTTCAGCTGCAGCATGACACTGCAGGCACATCAGGCAGCTAGACTGTCCTTTCACAGTGTGCCTGGAGGTCACTCAGTGGAGCATGCTCCCTAGAAAGCAAGTTGTGAGGAGCACTCCATAACGAGGAGGGAAATCTTGAGCAGACAGTGGAGGGAAGCTGTGACCACCGAAAYATGATAGTGTTGTGCAGTGACGGGCTGAATTACTAGACTTTTATAAGGTTTAAAATAATTTAGCTGCACATRGGTAAGCTTTGAAGCAGAGAGGTATAAAGACTCACATCAGCTTGTAGATCTGTAAGAAACTGCTCCTCAGGTCAAGACAGGAACGTTACTTGCGAATGGGTTTCACGTAGAAAATTCTAATTTTCTGCAATGGCCAGAGTAGAGGAGATAAGATTATGCACACGAGTATATTGTGGTTAGAGGCTTTCAGAAAAGCAGGAGTGCTAAGAGCACAGGTCTTCCAAGTATGGTTCTTTACTTTAACAAGCCAAGAAAAAGGTTTAAAAGCTTTCCAGTAAAGATTTGTTTGCCTCATACACTATACACAACGGRCATTTTTGGTTATTAGACCAGTGGYAATTTCACYGGTCTTACCAGAAGAAGCATTTAGAAGCTATTACTGAATGGGAAGCTGGAGGTTTAATCAATATTTCCTGAAGCCTTCAAGTTTTATTAATAATTTTGATCCCAAGACAGCAGCACCGATCCCATACAGAACAATGTATGGGAGCAAGTATAGATTAGGCCAATGCCCGAAAGCTACTGTGCATTTTCAGAGAAAGATTTTTATAAAAATAGGACCGTAATGCMCCATTCTATCAAGGCAAAGAGGAATATTCTGAAATCAACAAATACAACTGCTTTGAAACTGTTTAGAGCATCATTTTTATRAATTTTGCCTTAATGCTGTGTTTAACACAAGAGGATCCCAATTCTGAATCTGATCCTCTMATCCTTAGAGCACTGCAATCCAATGTAAATTATAAAGTTAAGGTAAATTATAATTATATTATAAGGTAATTAAAGTTAAAGGTAAATTATAAAGTTGCTGCCCTGGTGATAAATCACTTGTAAAATACATGGTTGCTAGTTACTTGCCCAGTATCCAGGAAGGAACTTTGGATGATAAATGATTGGGTAAGTTTGAGATCCTCACGATCCTTTTGAACAGATACCTAAGTGCATCAGTTTTATCAAGAAACTGAATTTCTAGTGGTATTCACCTGTAAAGAGTCTCGCCTTGTAAAGAACTTCAAAATTAGATCTAGAGCTGTGTACAAGCCAATGTGAAGCATCCCCCACTTGCAGGGCAGAGCACGTCACCTGCTCACACACAAGTATCTAAAATGAAGCCTGTTTTCTTCTGTTCCTCAGAGTAGAAAATAAGCTGCAGACCTTGGAAACGCAGTTCAAAAACCTCAAGTCAAGCTTGGACAACCTGACACACAAGTTYGAACAGCAGGCTGAGAACCTGCAGAATCAGATAAGTCAGGATGCAATGTGGGCATCAGCGCTAGAAGACAGGTGAGCAGCAAGGGAAGGATCAACATACGCAGTCCTGTCTCACTTCCTGGTCTATCTTGGGATCAAAAATTCTGAAATTATCTTGTTTGCAGCCACTATCACTTTCTAAGGAGCTCTAAGGACAAAGATTGCTGTGTGCTTCTGAGCATTCTGTAGATACAACTTTTTCCTGAAATGCTTATTTAGAAAAACAAGATAATCAAGATCCAAATATGAATTCCAGCTAACTAGAGGCTTCGGCTCCAGATTCTTGAAATAGTCATCTAAATTACTGAAGAAAGTAGTCAAAATAATAAAAAAAACCTTGCATTTGAAAGTGAATTCAAGTTGCATGTACTGCAGAGAGGCACTTGCTATCAACATGTAGAATAAAACCAGTTAATTGCTAAACTAAATTCAAAACAAAACGAAGTAAGAAAATAACCAAGCTAACATTCGATTCTATATTGTTGATTCTAATGTGTTTTCTCTTTAGAAGCAAGTTGTTTTATGCATTTCTTCACACTTACCTCAGAGTTTTTATCTAGCACAAGGCTCTGCCAGTGACTTACACTGTGGCCATCCTAAATGGCCCTGGCAGCCATCGAGAACTGAGTAACAATGTATGATAATTTGCATTATCTATTCTTGCCCCTTTTGGGCAGCTATCAACCAAATCAAGCTGCCAAAGATGGGGAAAAAAAAAAAAAGTTAATAATAAATGAGATGAACCCAGCAGGACAGGCAGGCATGGAGAGCCTGCTGCCATTTGTACACGCACTTGGGACTCCCCTTAACAGCGGCACTTGCTCAGCGGCCTTTTTGAAATGTAGCTGTCAGGCAAGCCCGAGATGGCTGAAACCTGTGCTGCTGTTGTTACCTTAACAGGAAAGATGTGKTTTTTTAAGACAGAACTAACCTGCTTGAGGAGAAGCTTATCAGTGTCTCTCTGTGTCTCCTCAGCGGCCTCACCTCTGCAGAGACCGGCCTCCTGCTCAGCTACGCCTGTGAAACCTTGGTAGCCCTGCGCTGCCTGGTGACAGCCGCGGTGCCCGACTTGGCCCAAGGCCTCCCCACAACGGCCGCCATCCTGCGGCACAAGACCCGCCACAGCCGCATCCGGGCCGCGTGGGACGCGGCGCTGCAGCGCCTGGAGCTGCACGAGGGCGACGTGGCGGCTCTCGGCGCCTTCC